GAGTCGCGGAAAAAGTGAAATCACTCATATTCTGCGACACTGTCTCGATTGTGCAGATTTCGCCGTAACATGTATGTGAATGCGACTCTGAGGCCAAATCGACATGATACAAGTCGAACCGATTCACTATAAAAATCGCGTAAAAAATATTTCTGCACGCAACTCCGCGAATCTGCCTACCTTCCCGTGTTTCCACTTTTTCCATTCTCTACATGCGATATTGTCGCTGAAAAGAGTAACTTCAGATCTTTCCTGTCGACATTGAGAGTCGCGGAAAAAGTTAAATCACTCATATTCTGCGACACTGTCTCGATTGTGCAGATTTCGCCGTAACATGTATGTGAATGCGACTCTGAGGCCAAATCGACATGATACAAGTCGAACCGATTCACTATAAAAATCGCGTAAAAAATATTTCTGCACGCAACTCCCCAAATCTGCCTACCTTCCCGTGTTTCCACTTTTTCCATTCTCTACATGCGATATTGTCGCAGAAAAGAGTAATTTCAAATTTTTCCTGTCGACATGGTGTGTCGCGGAAATAGTGACAATGCTCATATGCTGCATCTCCGTTTCGATTGTCGTGATTTAGTCGTATCATGTATGTGAATGTGTCTCTGAGACCAAATTGACATGATACAAGCCGAACAGATTCACTAAAAAAAATCGCAGAAAAAATATTTTCGCATGTAACTCTGCTCATCTGCCTACCTTCTCGTGTTTCCATTTTTCCAATTGTCATTTAGCTTCATTGTTGGTGAAAAGAGTAATTTCACGTATTTCCTATCAACTTTGAGTTTCGCGGGAAATATGCATATATGGCAAACATTCTTCCAAAAGTGATAATGGCATACATTTTCACGTTTGGAAGAATATTTTGAACATTTATGTGTACTTAGAGTAAATTGCGTGCCATGCCATGCATTTCATGGTATCTGGGAAGTCATGGAATTTCCTGCTTGGAAGTGGCCCGTCCCTCTCTAATTTTCCTGCTCGTGAATACAGTTTATATATCTTTCCTAATTTTGCAGAAAGTCTCCCCTCACGCTCTCATTTGCGATTCCACGCATTTATTAGACTTCTGAATTGAAATCCACTACAGGCTGCCCCAGCTTTATTTGACCATTTTCAAAATGCGTTTACTCATAGGGAGAAAGGATCTTTCGTGTGACACGTGATTCTTGGGGGAAAAAAAGTCAACTCTTGTTATGTGAAATAAGCGGTCATTGTGTTGGCGTTTAATGATGCCCGTGGATTGGGTCATGGAGATATTTGTGAAACGTCTTTCCATGAAAGGTTACTCACACAAAATGAAAATTCCCCCGTGTTTCTTGAAAGGATCCCGCGTTATCAAAGGAATAATCTCATATAACATCACTTGCAATATAGAGGCGAGAAAGAAAGAAATTCTTGAATTTCAGACATAAAGCGTAACGCAAGACCGGTACGTTACAGGAAGCATCTGTCTAAAGTTATTCATTTCGCGGACTTTGAAATCAACCCAGCAAGAGATTACTTGCACGTCGACTGCCAGTATTCGAAGGAACTATCAGAAGGGTCATTCATGAGAATCTCAAAATGTAAGTAAAATACGTAGTGCAAGTCCATGTCGTCTGCCCAAAGCACATCATGGAGAGGAATACAAATAAATGAAAATGATGCGAGCGCCACCTGGCCTGTGAAAGGTACAAGTATATTATGACGCTTGATGAAACTTGGTTGTACCTTTCCATTTGTGGAAGGAATCAATATATTTACTGCCAAAACCAGAGTTTTCGTTATCTAAACAAGTTTTGGATTTCTGTGAGCTTGGGTTCCTGAATTCCTTGGGTTCCCTTATGAATCGGCGCCCGGAAAACTTTGAGGTGGACTTTGGAATGTCGTCAGTGAGGAACGAGAGAAAGTGTGCATTTCTGTGCACAGCGTAGAGTATAGAGCGTAGAGCTCTGGTAGAGTAGAAATTGAGGAGCAAGACTATTCTTCAGAATCAAGGACGGGAGATGGAGCATGATAGTCTCTGAAAGAACTTGTAGAAATATACAACGTCCTGAATCAAAAATGGTCAAATAAAGCTGGGGCAGCCTGTATATGCAATACTACATTTTACGGAAGATGGGAAGCCTAGTCATAATTTCTGCATTTGCAGAATGCCCCGCATGCCTACGCAGAGTATTTGTCATTGGCTCGATATCACCTCTCTTCCGAAATTCTTAATTCCACGAAGAAATGCACCAAATCAAACGAAAAGGATGAATTTGCAGAAACTCCTTTCCTGGCAAGAATGATCGAAAAACGTGAAATTGTCCACGAAACGCACCATACGCATCTCCTGCTTGGGGTCGGAAAATGACGATTAATGACGGAAAAAGAAAAAAATTCGTCATTGCGAGTTACATGTGAGAATGTTAGGATTGGACTAGTCGTCTGCATGCTAGACGTAAAATTCATAACATTGCTAACTTGCTTAATAACAATTCATTGCTCTCAGTTTAAAAAAAAAGAGACGCCTTTATTTTACCTGCGAATTTCACATGTATATTCATCACATCATACAAGGCAAGATTTCAAAATAATTGGAAGCACCCGGCATTATTGGGTCGGCCATTCTTGCGCATCAATGCTCCTTGTAAACATGGGGTCGTACTTTACATACAAACATCCCTGTGCACTTTTGATACCGCTTATCCCAACTTTATGGGGTCACGGTTAGAGCATGTCCTGGAGCGTCCTCCATTGACCTCGATCCTGGGCAACGGACTCAAGCTCAGCTGGTGGAATGCCGAACCTCTTTTGACAAAGCCGAGCGACGTAATCGCTCCACCTTGTACGAGGTCTACCGACAGGTCTTTTGCTGGTCATCTTGACCTAGAAGACTCCTCTTGGAAGTCTCTCAGTGGGCATGCGACAGACGTGTCTAAGCCACCTGACCTGAGTCCTCTCGAACATGAGAAGCAGCTACTCGACATGGATGCTCGTAATTTTTATGTGAAATTCACATATTTACCGGGTCAAATCATTTCACCCTGATGAAATGACCCTTGAATCACAGAATGAATTCCCCATCCCTAGCCCCACTGAAAAAAAACCCATCAAAGTAAAAAACAGTACTTAAATATTATATATAGAATGGAATTTTGAATATGATCATTGTCTTTCTTTTGTCTTTCTTCATCTAAGATTTTTTTTCTCTATCATCAAAGCTATCTGTAAGTGGATTTGGTATATCTTTCAAACTGGGCTTTCTGGTGGACAAGGCGACACCACGCAATTTCTTGTACCATCTTAATGCAGTGGGAGCGATGAGGGTATCGTCCAGATGTGCAAGTGAATAACCGCCTGAAAGAAATGTACGAAAATGTCTCATTTTGATGAATCTCTAGAATGAAGTCTCTGAATCCAAACCTCTCTGAGACGAACCTGTGACTAGACTGACGACGATACAGGTGACGAGAGCGGATGAGAACCCAATAGGAGTCAGCATGAGGTAGGACATGTCGTACACGTGCGGACTGGGAGGCAGAAAAACCCACGGAGATAATATTTTCCTTTACAATTCATTAAAAAAAAACTATTTAAAAAAGAAGAAAGTGACCTACTATGGGGATTGGGTTGGTGTGGGATCAGATAGAGTGAAAGAGGTGAGATTGGAGTAGAAGGCGGCAGAAGGGACAAGAGTGGCATTGTGAAAGCAACCACCCACAGATGATGGTAAAGGTGGTTCTGGTGGCACCCCGTGCACCCTGGCTCCGATGCCAAGCCACCCCGTCATACCCATCCCCACTAGCAACCCCATGAATGCACCCTGTGAAAATAATTCCTTAGCACGGAAGGCAACAGATTTCCAGTTCAAGCGTGGCAAAAATCTTCAGGAAATCATCTCAATCCCATGCATTGCGTCCATCAAGAAGGCTCATTCCGTGACCTTCTCAGTAGTTCTTGACGAAGCTAATGTGTATACTTCCTGAGATTTTTGCCAGTAGCTCGAGGTAGGCGCTTCGGACGTCGAATGTCCTGAATGAAGTTTTCGATTTTGTCGTGTTGCTGCAGCGGCTACTCCGCAACAAATAATGACATTTTCACCATTTGAAAGCCACGATCAATCAGGCAATATTTGAAGTGCATAATTCCTCTTCAAATATCATCGTTATACTTTACTTCATGGCCAGTGTTCTCTCTGGTCGCCCTCTTCCTCAGGAAATAGGTGGCACACCAGTGTTGGTGCGGCGATATACAGCGTGTTCCGTAAGTTACCATACCATTTAAAAAAATATTTTTCAAACTGCAACAACCAAGTCACTATTGTTAGCATTGATAGAAAAAAAAGTTATTTGAATTTTTTTCCACGATAATGACTTGGTATCAGACTCATAATGGAAATTACTTCGAATGCATCTTAGATAGGTGTAGCTGTTTGGGGCGATTCATGGCACACCTTGTCGAATGCTCTTCTACAACATTACAAACGTTATGTTTTCTCTCTCATAATTTCAGATAGACTCAGATAAAAATAGAAAAAATGTCATTTAGTTTTTCCCCTTTTGCTGTCATGAGAAAAGACTTCGCAACTGACGCTGAGCAGCGAAAAAAAGTTGGATGGATGGTTGGATTGTCTTTGAGAGTCCCGTCAGAGTTCATAGGCAGTTTTGACTATTTTTTTTAGTGCCGAGCCTCTTGTCAAATGTATTAATATAGGCTGAGGGCATTTTGAGGTATTTTCAAAACTCAATATTGCCTTCATTTTTTTGCAAAGATTGCAAATGACATGGTATCGTTCAGTTAATGTTACTTCTTTTTTTGTGCCAACTGTTTAGTAGATGTTATTTTTTGAAGGGGTAAAGTGACTTACGGGACACTCTGTAAACAGAAAAAGCTTCTTTTTCTGGGAGTAGAGATGATCACGGAAAAAAAATTATTTCTCGTTCTCCTTAATTCACTCTCCCCTGAGTCATAAATTTCCATGAAAGAGAAAGCGTTGGAATTTAGAGAACGTCTGTCATTGGACAGACGATCACTATGTGCAAACCCCATTTGCCATCCCATGTTGCGGAAAGGGAAAAGAGACTTTTAAATTGCTACGACGCTTGCAACTGTTTCTCCACTTTAAATGAATCTGAACAGGTCCTCAAATGGTGGAATTCACAGACTACCACTCGAACAGAAAATCGAGAAAGTCAAGAATACCTTTGTGTCTTACATATTTGTTAACAAAGGGGAGATACATGGAGGCGATGAAGACGGCAGCCAGGGGACTCTGAGTCATACTGGCAAAGATCGTGGCGATTGTTGTCACTCCCAACTCCATCTTGGACAGCACGAAGGACAATGCAATAACGATAATCCCATATCCCAGGGCTGCATTCAAATGAAAGTTAGAACAATATTTTTCATGCTCATGTATCGGGTATCTTATTTTCACTCTTTTCGAAAAGAATACTCATTTGAAACTGACCGAAGAATTTGGTGAGGACGATTGCCTGAAACTCGGTGATTCTTCCTTTCCATGAAGTGAGCATGACACCGTCAACATAAGTCACCGCCGCAAGGGAGTTCAAACCGGATGATAAAGTGCTGTTAGACCAAAGACAGATAATGAAAAATGACGAAAGTGAAGTATCAGGGTTGGATCCATGAAATGTAAAGCAGACCTGAGCGCTCCGCTGAATAGACAGGCGAGGAAGATGCCGGGGAAACCGTGAACGTGACCAAGTTCGTCCAGGACGTAATAAGGGATGATCTGGTCTTGCTTCGTGATGATTCCGGCTTTGAGTGGATCACAGTCAGCGTAGTTGGCGAAAACAACAAGACCTGAGAACGTCGCCAGGACCCACAAAATGATCGTCAAGATTGCATTCCAGAGGTATGCCCTTCAAGAGCAGGAGATGCCTGGATAGTGTCTCCCTCTATCTCGATTACCTCTAGAAAAACTGGAAGCATAGACTCTTACTTGAATGCAGTAGATACTTTTTTGAGGCTGCAGTATCGTTGGGCAGCTGGTGGATTGCATCCATGAGCGACCATCCACGAGATCCAAAAATGCACCACCAGCTTCCAAAACGTGTGTCGTTCGTACACGTCCGAGGAAAAACTATATGTAAAGTGGATGAAATCATCTCAGAATATGAACCATATTATAGAACCTTCCGACGTATACTTCCAAGCCCATGACAGCTGCCTATCTATTGAGATTTGTGAATGTCAATTTGATTCGCTTCCGAAGCTTGACCTTGGCATTCAACCTACCCTGTCATGCGGAGGGTGCAAACGAAGAATCGAATTCTCCATGTGTTCTTTTTTTTGCCATTATCACAATCTCAAAAGATATTTCCTTTTGTTTTGGATCTTCTCGGATGAACCAGCCCTCCACCCCTCCTCGCCGGTCCAAGGCCACCGTCATTGAACTTTTATTAAGTCAAACGTGTTGAAAGAGGAGTGGAAAAGGGCAGTTGACAGAAACAGCTCACTTGAAGATCTGATCACGTTGATATTGAGAGGCGATATCCCACACTTTGCTTGCTCCTCCGACTACAACAGTTCCGTAGATGTTGATCAATAAGAGACCAGCGAACATGATGAAGACCTGCAGGACATCCGTCCATATCACCCCTTTCAACGCTCCCTTGAAAGAGGACATAAACAACCCATATGCTGTGGTTCAAAGTCGTCGAGAGCGAAATCTCATGAGGTCCCGTGATAATTAAGAACTTACGATGGCTGTGTAGACAGTGCATATGCTCCCTGCGACAAGAATCGCGGTCCATTCGTGGAAAGGAGTAACAGAGGAAACTGCAATAACAGGAGCATACAAGGCAACAGTCATGTACAAAACTTGTTGAAGGATGAATGACACACTTCCCAGGATTCGGACACTCTTCGACCTGTAACGCATTTCAAAATACTAGAGAAGACAGATTTATTAAACTGTATCAATTTGGTGAAGCGACTGAGGTGTTACAGAAGTTTGTAGGCCCATACCTCGAAAATGGAACTCAGTTGAAGCTTGTGGAAGAAGGGGACGAAGATGAGCATGGCGGAAAAAATCCCCAATGCCACTCCAAATGTAGTTGCAAACCATTGGCTTCCATATGCATATACTTCGGCGGGGTTACCTATGATCAAGAACCTTTGAGTAACAAAAACGTTTCCTTCCGACTGATTTCAATTTCGAAAAATAATTTTAAAATTATCTTTACTGATTCAGATAATGTAGCAAAACCGAAATTGAGAGAATTTTATACCTCAATTAGGTACTGCACCAGCACATTTCGTGTTCCAAACCCAAAACCCTCTATCCTGGAATAGGGGCTGCTATTCTGCGAAGCAATGGACGTATGAAGTCTACTGTCCTCTCTGCCTGGTTCTCTGTGCGCGCGAAATAGTTAAGGAGGCTATCCTTTAAATACACCGTTCCAAAAAAAAAAAACAACGGTAGAGAGAGACAACGGACTGAAGATCCCTTCCGTCTTTCTTCGATCACCCTATCCAATCTTCTATATGAGTCGTTATTAATTATACCCTAAACCAAGGGGAATTAAGAGACCTTTCAACCCTAAGGAATTCATCGTGATCGGTGAGCGGAATTTTGGGCAATGAACGAGGAAGGAGAGGACAATATCCACTCAAGCTCGGGGAGAGCGCTTTTTTTTATCTTAAAATAATGTATTACGAAGCCGAAATACAATGTTTGGTATTTGGGCTTTTTAATACTCTGCCTAATGCTGCCCAAAGATTGTATTTTGTCTGCATCCGTGGAAAGTTGGGAATATTTTTTTTTTGGTCACACCATTTTAAGCAATCAAGTATCAAGAGTTTTTGCAGACACACGTTACGCAAAAATGTGTCTTCCAAACGTCCTCTATCTTGCTGGCCATTCGGTTTCCAAGATAACTAGAGTGGTTCAATTCTTGTTATAAAAGCAAACTCAGACTCACCGAGTATAAGGATAGCTGAGAGGAAGCTGGCCACCAACGAGAGAATAATGGGGAAAACGGAGATATCATGAGCCGTAATGAGTCCTTGGTACCCATCTTGGCGTCCAACAAATGCGAAGTAAATGCCAATCGCAAGTGCCGCAGCAAGGGAGATGCCAAAAATGAGGTAATCCACGACCGCAAAGGACGATAGTTCTTCTATCCCACTCATTTTTATATGAATAAGGAGCACCGTAAGTTTCAAACTGACTCCCAGAGACTGCTTCTGGACGCTGTAAGAAACGAGACGGAAGAGTTTTACCTGTTAGAGGAACCAGTAAGGACCAAGATCAAGGGATGACGATGATGATGGGCATGCCTTGGCTGGGAGGTCCGTGATAAGATACTCCAGTCACAATATATGTTTATGGATTATGGATCGTGGATCGGATCGTGAAATCCGACATTCACTCCGCACCGTAAATTTTACCGCGTGCACCGTGGTGGCTTACATTGCTTCGCTGTTTCAAGGGCTGCCGTTGTACGAACTAACATCCCGAACCCAAGTAGCGCATATGATAAGTTAATATTGTATCAACATTGAATCAATATCAAAACTTTGTATCAATTCGATGTCATTTGCTACTTGGGAAGGAACACAAACTCTCACTAGCGATAGTGGACGGAATCAGGCCCAAATCTTGACTCGAGGCCTCGAACTTACATAATGAGTATGTAAGCAGAGAGCAATCTGGGCACCAGCGTAGAAGAGATAAGATACCGATTAGAAAATGTCGACAGGTACTAAAAATGCATTGTATGTCAAAGATATACGCAGCGACAGCTTTCTCTCATGAGTCTTGAGGAGTCGGTTAAGGTCGGCTTTCCTTAGTGCATTTCAAAGAAATTCGTTTGGCCTTACTGTCGTGCTTGAAGTCTTGCTTCAAGCACGACATGCACTTCATGCCACCTCCAGCGTTTCGCCGTAAAGCAGTTACTGTCATATGGAGAGGTGATTTATTTCTTACCTAGGCCAGTAGGAGCCTTGATCGTCTACGTCCTATCGCCCACGTTAGGGGTGTCAAACATATGGCCCGCGGAGGTGGTTCATCCGGCCCGTTGTCTATTCTTACGTAACCTCGAAGAAGGGTTGAATCACATCATCCCTCCTTCACCATTGGCAATTAGACGATGGCATCCCCTGGTTGACCAGAGCTGTCAATATTTGAATTTTCACCATTCGAATAGAGAGGGATTACTGACAACCCGCAGCAGTCACGGAGGCGCAGCTGACTTCGTTCGTTCGCTTGCCTTCGAGCAGCGGCAGCGGCGGCGGTTGCGTTCAGGTTGCGTAGCCCACTACGTACGATCTCGAACGACGCAGCCGTTGTCGCAGCTGCCATCGCAACTGCAGTGCTGCTGTTGCAGCTGCGTGCGAGTCGATGCATACACGGGGTGCATATGAGTCAACTGCTGTGTAATAAGTGTCACGTGGGTAGGTGCGTTCTGTTGCCTCGTGGACCAGAGCTATAGCAAAGATTTCTTTTTAAAGATTAATCGAATTATGTTCTCACATCTGAGGACCTGCTTACTGCAATTGATGGGCAAAACTTGATTTTGGTGCGTCCCAAAGTTGGAAAGGTGAAAGCTGAGTGAATAACACTTTTTTGGGGGGGAGGGGGGGAAATTTAGGGTGCGAATTATGAGTGAAACATCTGCAGGATAAGGAATGCGGCCCTCCGACCGATTTGAGTTTGATACCCCTGGTCCACGTGAATGTATTCGTCTTGATCCTATACAGTGCTTAATTTGTTGAGAGGCCTGATAGCTCCTGGCACTGACACAAACAGCATATTAGAAGCTTCTTTCCCCATGTAATCTGATGCTTCTTCCCATGCATCATATGCGTTCTGCCCGCCTTTTTCCGACAAGGGTTGAAGCTCCTCCATCACGGTTACTTCGAGCTCCACATCGGTAGTTATAATTTGTGCATGAATTGCAAGAACAGGCTCATGGGAATGAAACTACTTACACGAAATGACTACAATTAGTTGGGTCAGCGATTGTTAGTTCACGATCCGCAAGTAGGAGCGATGCAGTCTTGTCATTTTAAAGGAAATCAACTGAACGTTATTGGGGACCTCCCATGTACAGTTAACTCTCGTTAATCCAAACGCCAGAAATCCGGATCTCCGCTAATTCGGACATGAGGAATGTTCCCGGCTGAAGTCTCATAAAACCAATGATTAAATTCTACGTTTAATCCGAACGTCTTCATTCCATGGTTTTCATTAGTGCGTACGACTTTCACATCCACTGGACCATTCGCGTTAATCCGGACTTACAAGCAAAAGAAATATAAAGCGGCAGAAAAGATTTCCCTTTCCCTTTCCCACGCCTTCCCTCTTCCTCACCCTTGAAAAAAAAAAAAAAAAAAAGAGGGGAAAAAAAATCCATTCTCCTTCGATCTCTCTTTCCCGTTCCTGGAATCGGGTAATGAGGAACGCTCTCTTCTTTGAGACTTTCACGTTTTACTGTTATCTCACTCTTCCCCTGTCTCATCCATCACCATTCGAGTCAAAAGCAGTGTCTCACCTCTCTTCATGAGTAAGCATTCGCAGGGTGATCTCGCACAGGAGAAGTTGAAAGCTTTGAGCTTAGGGTCAAGTTAAAGGCACGTTTAGGATAGCACATAGTTTGAACATTCCAACATCGATAGTGTCGTATGTAAAGAAGTGTCACGATAAACTTGAACTGGATGATGTCCTGGCTGACGTCCTTCAATCGCGGCGACGAACGCGAAGCGCACGCTTTCAAGATACATGAATCAGAGCAAAAGAAACTTCGAGGTTTCTTCCATGTGAATGATAGGAAGAACTGTCATTCTTACCTCATTCCTGTAGGGGGGATGGGAGGAGGAAGGGGAAGAAGGCGATACGATAAGGGTACAGCTTTCTTCTCCAGGAAAAAGGAAGAAAATTGTGGTCACTCGAGAGGATTGGGGATTTTTTCCGGATTGACGGTTCCTCTAGATTAGCGAAAACCTGCCCAAGTCCGAATTAACTAGTATTGCACATTATTACTTTATAAAGTATTGGAGACAGGAGTTTTCTCAATGTAAGTGGGTTTCAAGCTCAAATAGGGGTTGGATAACATGCATATTGTGACGGATGAGGATGCCATCGAGGGACTGAATCATTGCACCACTGAATGTCCCGGGTTCGGTGGTGTACGAGGTAGCACACCTGATCGGCAATCAGAAGGCCCGGGTTCAATCATTGCCGTTCCCTGGCTCTCATGCCTTCCGTCGTCCGTCTCCACTTTCCCCCTCCGTAACATTTGGTGGGATCGTCCCACACCTCCGAGAGACTGGGTGGATTGAGACCGACCGAGGCGGTTACCAGCGGTCTGACCGGCCGAGGGGAATTCCGGCGACGGTGAAGTCTGGAGGACCAGACTTGATTACGTAATGTGATAAGGGGGAATGCGATAATGGGTAATGTGACGGATGAGGATGGCATCGAGGGGCACGACTGAATGTCCCGGGTTCGGTGGTGTAGTGGTAGCACACCTGACCGGCAATCAGGAGGTCACCTGTCGTCTGCCAACCCGTCGTGTCTCCACTTTCCCCCTCAGTAACAATTACCTTGTTACAGCTCTTGTCTAGAAGAGTCTAAATGTGCAATTATCTTTCTAATCTGAAGGACCTGGACCCTTCAGATTACAAAAATCTGAAGGGTTCCCTGACGTGTTCGAAAAGGGAGATCCCCCTGAGCACTTGGTGTTCCTGTTTCGAAATGTGAGAAGTTAAGAAATCGCAATGTTGAAGGCTGAACCAAGTTCGCGTATCCCCAGACCTCAAGCGCTGAATATGAAATGACAATGATCCTATTTCTACATTTCCATACTCGTACAATGAGTTTAAATTGCATGTCACGCAATCACTACAGATTCACTCGAACCTTTGCGAGTCGTGCGCAATTACCGCATATCCAGCAGATTACAATAGTTTACACATTTCATCCAAGCCTTGCAGGCATACTCAATGTCGCATGCTCGAATATCGTCAACATTTTTTATATCCAGCAGCTTATGATGCATTTTAAAAGTACGATTTCAGCTACCCGTGTAGCACATCCATAGTGAACAAGCACTGTTACAACCGTAATGGCATAACATTCAATGTTTCATGAGCGGGCCGTGATTCGAACATGAATTTGGCTAATAAAATTGGTTATTTTGAACCAATGCAACCCTGAACATACATATGCTTTCCCCATGCTTTCCACATCGAATATCTCAATCTGCACGAAACTTGAGATATGCATTCATGCCTTTGAGTCTCAGTCGGGATGAACGAGTTCTACCTGTCCTTGTTTGTTCTCATGTGGGGCAGTCATTTCCTTCAAATGATTAGATCTCCAATGACATTTCCTATCGATCCTCTGGTTCATTTCCTGCTTGGTATCTCCTGTTCGATAAGAGCTCTCGTGTGATCTCTTTCACGGAGAGTAAATATTAATATATCTCCTCAGAAGGAGTCCGACAAAGCTGCACACGCTGATACAGAACTCTTCACTGTCAAGTGAGATCCGAGCCTCTTTAAACACTCAGCCCCGTGGAGCTAAGTCCCTAGTTGAACCTTCCTCCCTCCAACATCTGGGTCGGAATTGCATGACGTTTCTATAAGTTATCTGTGGAAGAAGGTCGGTGCCGAATGAAACCAACATGGGACAGATTCCTGTGGTATCAGGGAGTGAGTGAGTCGGCGATTTAGGCACCGTGTCCCCTCTGTTGCGGGAACTTTGTGGGCTCGATTGACTGCGCGATGGCTTGCCCGTTACAGCTGCATTTTTCTTCAAAAGTCTCTTTCTTGTATTCAAAATAATAATAATGCAGTCTGTAAGAATAAATTTAATGGTTAAGAAATACGATATACGCATTCATTAGATTAAGATAAGGGGAATGCAAAAGCTTCCATGGCTTCCAGAGGCCATTGAAGCTATGTTGAATAAATATGAAACGATGGTGTTGAAGTATAAATAAATATTGATTGAATACTGCCAAAAGTTTGATTGTTCAATATGCATACTGGCAGGTTGGGTATGCCTTGAACA